TCATGCAAACATGCCAACAACCGTGCCACAGCATGCCTGCGAATGTTCGTTAAAAGTGAATTACACACCAAAGGTGCTTCGCTCTCAGAAGTACTGCAAAGACATGGGTTCTATCCAAAATAGACGCTGGAGACAGTAACCATTGCAATAAAAGCAAAACGAACAGTATATACTTCTATGAGAAGTGGGCTCTAGACGTTAGCTGGAGTTCATTTCCAATTCATATACAACTAGTGATAAACGCTATTAGCACCAGTTGTCACTCCAACGCCCGATGCCGGATACTCATCGAGTGGTTGTAAAATATGTTGTCTCATGCAGAGATGTATTAAAAGGTGAACACAAAATAAACAGGCGGGAAATGTGACCACGAAAGGAGAGAGAACGGTCTACGCAGAAAGATTTCGTTCCGTAAATTAGTTGTTCTGTAATACCTAATGTTGTTACTGCGTATTGTGTATATCACCAGGTGTGTGGAATTGCGATAACGCGTAGTCAGTGATAGTGAGACGAGTTAATGCGACCAAGCTATTATTATAGGAGCAAAGCCCGGAGAAAACAGAGCGATCGAAGGGAAGCCCGCTCAATGTTTATCGGCGAGCGCCCAATGAGTGACACAATTTTTTACCACTGCGTCGTCCATCGGGCGCTCATCCGTCACCCATCGGACACACCGTGCGCTCGCCATACACCAGCTGGTGTCAATCGAGGTAAGAGTAACAGCACAGTATACCATTAATACCAAGGCAGTAGGAAGCCAGTAAAACTCCAAAGTCTAAAATCATAGACTGAGTAACTAAGCACTAAGAATCAGCGATTAGAAAATGGTACCGCGAAAAGGAAAGGAGATGTACATGCACTGATGCCTAGAGACACCCACGGATTCATGCACAATCATACATTACTATACGCGTTAGTTAAAGGTGGAAAACGCCTCATCTATTGTGAAGCAATACCTAAAAGAAAACAGAAAAATGCAGTAATGCATGCCATCTGAGCTATCAGTAACGGATGGGCATCATTCCGGAAAGCTACCAGCCGGCTAATATGTAGTAAAAATGTATTAAACAAAATTATGTTATGCTAAGAAATGAGACCGTGGTTGAAGAGTAGGCTAAGAGGGATGGGACGGACAAAGAAATTCAAGACAGGAATGCCATCGAGGTCAACCCCTAGACTCGTCAGCAAGTGTATCCAAGCAAACAAGTTCGTCTTTCGGACACCAATCAGGGAGTCTAAAAGCTCTAACCGGGACCAGCTTCGAAGTGAGGGCCCTCATTCCTCTCGACAAACTCATCGCTTGGCCACCTCTCCTCTTCTTCCATCCACACCTCCGGCACACAAACAACGCACGTCGCAGGAGCCGGTGGGCTGACATGCATAACACGTGGCCGAGACATCGGAGCCTGGTGCGTGAAATAACGGTGCTGAGCGGTTCATCTCCTTTTCCTGTGTCGTAAACGCTCTGGTGTTCCCACCAGATGTGAGCTCAACTGTACAGGTACCGGTGGTCGAAGATAACTTTACGTCGACTGATCTAAAGGGCCAGATTTCACGACGGTACGGTAGGGTCGAACGTACCGCTGCCTTATACACTCGACCCTTCAGGGTGAGAGTGGTCGCGCCGGTGCCATAAATGGCGAAGGTTGGCAAAAGCGCATCCATCATTTGCTATACGCTTCGTGATCTCATCGTTGATCCCAAAGGCGCTGAGACAACTTCCCAGGTAGTTGAATTTTTGAACGACTTCTAGCTGATACTCACCAAGGGTCAGCGCAGGAAGCGGTCCATGTCAACCTTGGAGAAAACCTTTGCACTTTGGTGGTGTAAAACAAATACCGAAGCGGCTGACAGCCAGCGCTAATCTGTCTAATGCAGCTTGGCACATTTGTGAGCTGTCACAGATGAGGGCAACATCATCGCCATACCCCAAGTTAAGAAGTAGTTCACCTGGGAGCAGCTCCACAGCTTGCAAGTCGTGTCCTGTGAACGCAATCTCCATAACTTCGTCAACATCAAAGTTGAGAAGTGGTGACAGTGTGCATCCGTGTCTCAACGCTGGAGATACTGAGGGCGGCGACCGCTTGTTGCAAACCCTCATTGTGCCCGAGCTACGCGTGTATAACGCCCGGATAAGATTTACGGATTTATCGGGTACACCATTCCTGAGTAAACAGTTCCAAGGGGCACATCGATAAACCGAACCAAAGACACTTTTGATGTTGAGGAGCACGACAACGGTGGGCCGCCTGCATATGTGACGGTGCTCTCACAGCTGATGCAAAGTAAAGTTGTGATCGATGCAGCCACGATCTCAATCAAACCCGGGTTGCTCTTCACGAATCTGGCTTTCATGAGTGCCAGTCAGTCTATGAAGGATGAAAGAGGCATGCAGTTTGGAGGCGATGGTTGCCGCATTTCCATCGTGAACCTCTTGAAATTTGGGACTATGATGGAGTGGCTCCAGTCGGTTGGGACAGTTTCTTGCTTCACAGTATCACTAATAACTCGTGTAAATAGTCAAGGGCAGGTTACCTGAATTTGAAGGAGTGGAGGAAGTTTGTCAGGTACCGCGGCCTTAGTTAATTTAAACAGTCCGATCTCACGTTCGACTTCTGAGAGAGAGGGCGGATCTAAAGGGACAGCCTATGGAGCAGGGCGATCAGTGGCCGGCGATAAATTGGACAATTCCGACCTATCAAATTGCCTTACAGAGTGCTCAGCACAACGCTCCAAGCGCTTTGACACGTTGTGCGTAGGCTGTCTACACTCCTCACGTATAGTTTTACTAACAACAGGTCTGCTGTCAGTTTCTCGTATCAGACGGAATAGCTTCCGATGGTTACTTAAGGGCAGCGGCCACTTCCACCTCTGACGCACGAAGAGACCATCAGAATTCGAAGTCTCTCTTCAGGCTAGTACGAAGTTTTGCGCTCAGGTCTTTGCGTGTCTCATTGTGTTCGATTCCAGCCGGAATGTGCCGAGGAACGCCGATAAATTCCAGAGAACGCGAAGAGACCCAATGTCCATGTTGGCGAGTAGACACCACATGATTTAGCTGCTGCTGAACATGAGACCAGTGATCTTCAATTGTATCCAGTTAGCGCTTACTCAACCCGCATATCAGCGTAGTTCGGTACGCATTCCGAACAGCTGGCTTCGCCAGTTGGCTGGTGTCAATGTGCTCACAGGGTCGTCGTGGGCATCCGCCAAAACGCATCCACAGGTCAGTACATACAAGCGCATAGTCGTTCACACATGTGCTCCAGAGCAAGCGACATTTCTGGACACAGCCTCTCCAGCGGTAACGGATCGCAACGTGATCCATTTGCGTCCACAGCTGATTTGAGGCTGGCGGGTGCCAAGTCACCCTTCGGCGGATGTTCTGTCGGAAGTTAGTTAGAAATAAGCGGGCATCTTCAGGAAAATGAAGTAACCACTCACCGCCATCAGTACGGGAGCTTACAACATGTTGACCGCCCAGATGCAGTAGAACAGTGGATAACTTTCAACATCAGCGTCCAGATCCCAGCCAGCACAACAGTGTCCGTGCTTCTTCTGTGACAGCGTTCGTTAAGTTGGCGATAGTTGTCTTGTACCGAATCATCACTGGAGTTTGTGGGCGTGTAGGCAGCGATGACGAGTCAACACTTATTGATCCCACGCGAGTTCGAAGCTTTGAAGGAGCCAGCCAATCGAACCGCACATATCCGGCTACCGATAGAGATCCAATCAACCACAGCAGCTTCAGCCCAGGGACTCAGAGCAATACCAACACAGGGTTGGCAGGCACACAAAGCTGCATCGTCTCTGGATAGGTGCAATGAGAAAGCCCTGCTGGTGTCACCTGAAAGGAATCGCAGGGAGCACAGAGCTCGAGAGTGTCTCTAGTGTTCAGGCAAGTGCTGCCTGTTGACCGATCTGTAGTAATGTGCGTACATCGAAGCATGCCAATCTGAGGGAGGATGGAGGGCTCCAGATGGAAGCCGATGAACTGTGCCTGACCGCTAGCTGGACACAGGGAGGAGTGACGTTCCACGTTTGCATGTGAGTTGAAACTAGAACCTAAACGCCTATCAAAGCAAGGAGGGGAGAGCCGATGATTGGGATGCTGAAAACGTGGGGGATAAAAATAGTTGGAACCGGACAAGGGAGAAAAAACGTAAAAGAGGGAATAAGAAGACAAAAAGGCTTGAGCAGTAGTATCCAAACCCTATCGGCCCTGCTCGATGCATCAGATAGGGGACTTTCGATTATCTTCTACGGTGCCAGAGCATCAAGAAATTGAAGGCTCATAGTATTGCGTGGGCAACATACTGTCAGATTACTCAGGCCTGGATAGGAGGATGACAAGGGTTTTCAACCAAAGCCTTTGGTTCAAAATCCTGACCGCAATGTAGCTAGTCTGCGGTGGGCTACAAGGAGTCCGTTTTATAGAATAACCCACCCTCATTCCAAACCCTAACCTGGAGGAGCAGGAGGCTGAGTTTGTCGCTTCAAACCACTGACCAATCTGGTATGGGTGGCTGCTAAGGTGCAGAAAAACCCTGCCTAGCATAGATAAATGGATCACTGAAGTAAGCTAACCATCGTACCACAGTAAGGTGTAGCCTCATGCACAACAGCTAAGAGGGTTAGGACAGGGATCTAAATCCCCTTTCCTTTCTTATGTGTGTGCCATAATGAATAGTTAGGGTAAGTATAAAGTGGTGCCATAGTGTACCTATGCGGCCCTGTGCTGACACAATGGTTAGTCGTTACACCGCTGCCAGGTGGGGCCCAAACTTAGCATCCAAGAGGGACCAGGAGATGGATAAGACTGGCAAGCAGCCAACAACAATCGGTGATGTACGGTGAAACACGCAAAGTTAAGGGGAAAATCCAGATGTATCTAAGGTGCACTAATCGAAGAAAATCAGCTGGTAAAGCAATTGAAAAGTGATTGACGACGCACACTAATAGACAGAATATAAAGAGTATGAGTCCAGAAAATTTAGTACCTGAAAGCGTTTTGCAGTTTGAGCAAACAAATGTGCGATCTTTTCTTGCCGTTCTTTAATAATTTCAATGAATGAATGAACGTCCACCGCATTCTGCATGCATTCATTCAAACCAGTGAAACTCACAGAGGTGTTGTTCAGTTGCGTTCGGTAGTTTTCAAGTCTCGAAACAAGTTCTTCGAAACGGAGAATGAATGCATCGTTATTCTGAAAAATAAAATCATCCGTGGACAAAGTCACCTCAGAAGATGGCAAGGATTTCAAGACATGAAGCATCATTTTTCCTTCTGCGATACTTGCTTGTATTTCTCTCATCCTGATATCGCCTCCGCTGTCGACGGCTTCGCGATTCGACATTCCGACGTATAGTCAACGAAACCGAGGCGAGTCAGGGAAAGGTTGATTGTACAAGGTCGAAAAAAATGCTCCTCGGGCGGGAGTACTGCAGTACAAATTTTCCACAACGGACAGGTAGTTACTACGAAATTTGTTCCAACTTTTTCTTTGGGGTGCAGCTATGCATTATCGTAAATTTATTCTTGTGAAAAATCAGGGAGCGTAGATTGATAAGCGCAAGATTATGTACACTGATAAAGTGGTCAGGACAGATTTTGTACCACGGATGATAGAGGCTTTCGCCTAACGATTTTCCTGTTGCTTGTGCCGGTACATGAACAACAACTCGTAGCGTTACGATATTGGATTGACTCTTCTTGCTTCTACACAAGCAAGTAGATTGGACAAAAGTATTCTGTTCACTTTCGTGTGACAGCCTCAAACTCAAAATGCAAATTAGGCAGGAACAATGGAAATTCCCATCGTCATACCATGCAATATTCGTCGTTTATCCACGTTAAAACGCAGTGGTAAAATCGGCCAGCTGTGGGAGCCAAATCAGCACGTACAAAGCAAGTCCTCTTCAAGCAATCAACACCCACATTCCTTGCGCTAGCAGACAACGCTGCGACATAGTCGCAGCACGGTTACCCCGCAAAACCTAGTGCGCAATAAAGAGTTTCGTGTCATTTTACGGCATGATTCCCGGCTATCATTCTGGCTTTGCAATTTTATTTAATTCTGTGCAAATATGATATTGCAGTTGTTTAAATGTGTCAAAAGCCATACACGCGCTGTTACCCCACAAAACCTGGTGCGCAATAAATAGTTTATGGTCATTTTATGGCATTATTCCCGCCTATCTTTCTGCCTTTGCAGTTTTATTTAAATCTGTGCAAATGTAATATTGCAACTGTTTGAATGTGTAGGAAACCAGACGTGGTACGAACAGTGTTTTCGAATCCGCAAGCCATGGAGTCTGATTTCCGAAAAATCTTCCTTGGGCGTACTTTTGACGGGTTTGATGAGTTTACTGGTTTGATTTCAGACTTTATGCTTCTTCATTACGTCAATTTCGTATGCTACAACAGCAGAAAATGTAACCTGTCACGGGTGAAGTACGACAGGGTCATTTAGCGCTGTGTCCGCTGCGCAGGTCGGAAGTCAAAAAGTACAGGAGTGAGACAAGTTTAATGGAAATTCGATTCTATTATTCTAAAACTTTCAGCTCACATGATACCAACTGCCAAGCTCGCGTTAACCTCATTAGAACGGGACGCAAGCTGAAAGGCACAACGTTCGATCTGTCTCAAAATCACCCAGTTAATCGCCTTTTTTGAGCGGCGCCCAATCAATCGCCGTCTGACGGACGATGAGTTCACTCGGTCCGTGGACCTTTCCCGCTACAACACCCCAACAAGCGACATCAAGCAGTTCGTCGAGGTTCGGTTCGGAGAGCATATTACCAGCGATGTTGTCCGCAATGTTCGTCGTAGACTGAGACCTGGCGTTGAGTGTAAGCTTATTTTGATAGTTTTTACTTTCTGCAATAAAATCGCATCAGGTTATCAAGTCTATTGAAGTAGACGGAGTTGCGCGAATTATTTCTGAGGAAGGCTTGTGCGCACATGTATTATTCGCTCTGCAACAACAAATAGAACTTTTCCGTCGATTCTCGCATGTCGTTTGTGTAGTAGCTACTCATGGTACTAACCGTTTGAAGTAAGGATTGATAGCGGCCTTGTTGCTTGCAGCTTCAAACTATACCAGTTTTTAATAACTGACAGCATGTGGTACGGCCGGCCAATATTTTATGCGTTTCTACGTCGGGAAGATTACGCATCATTGCTTACGTTGTTCGAAGCGTTTCGAGATATCATGGGTCATGATATTCCCGTCCGCACAATAAAGTTGGCCAAAATGGCCGCATAAATACGTGCGGCGCGAGCGGGTTTTAAATCGACATTTTGTTGTGTTACTTCCACATCCGCCAGGCCATCAGGAAACATGTAAGTGATAAATCTTCGTTACTTTCGGTAGACAAACATTATCCGTCGCATTATCTGTTTCGTCGCATGGCAACTTCTGACACGGAGACTGAGTATAATCTCTTTCTATATGTACTAATCTTGTTTTAGATTTCAACAAAAGTTGAAGCTCCTTCAAAGAACAGACCCCCGGTTTGTGCGCTACCTTACGTTTCACTGGTTGTACATAAAACGCTCGTGGGTGAAACACGCCCAAGCTGGACTGGTGCATTTTAGCAATACGACGAACAACCAAGTTGAGAAGGTCAACTTGCGCCTGAAGAAAGTTACCCATGCATCGGAAGGCCATGTTTCAGCTGTGCGCAAAGTCTGGGCGCATTCGGAAGTTCTCCTGAAAGAGTCCCAGATGCGTGCCGCGTCCTTCTGTGACAGGCGTCAGCTACTAGAAGGCAGCACATATGTTCATTGCGTATTTTGCCTCTTATCGACGTACGCATGCAACTTAGTGATGCACCACTTAGCAAACCCATGTTACAAGCAGTTTACTCGGACCTTGGAGATGGAGTGATATGTGAATAAAAATTTATGACGCTTCCGTGGTTTGAGATATCGCACCAGGGAGACCGCTTCACCATCGATTGCTCCTTGGGAACATGTACGTGTTCTTTTTATGTAACCATGTGGCTTCCGTGTGTGCTTTTAATGACGGCGTACAAGCAGCACGCGTACCTGACAAGTAAGCCGTTTCTGATATGTGCATCCATTTACAGTCTAAATACCTATTTGCATCCGCTGGCTGGCGAACTACAACCTACCCACAGAGTCCATGCCGTTGCGGAGGTTGAAAGTCCCCGTTACGAAACCATCCACGTCTAAAATTGCACAACTTGTACATCGTCTGAGAAGTACTGAAGGGGTTAATCCATCCGGATTTTCGGAACTGTATCAATAGCTATTGCGAAGCACTAACGAATTAATTGGTGATTCCTCAGACTTTCAACGGGCGAAGAAACAACCGCGTTGGCCGAAAATTATGGCGCCCACAGATTTGTGTTCCACACGCAACCAGCCTGTTGTGTTTGGCGCAGTTCGCTGTGCACACATTCGGTTACTTTACCATCGAAAGTGTTTGCGTGTGCAATCAGGAGCGCGTTGTGCAATTTGAGTTAAGGCTTCACAAACGGTATCTGCGCTTATGGTGGCAGTGCAATGCCGTACTACCGGTAAGAAAGCAACTTTTTACTTACATATTTAGCTGTTGGCCGTTCACCCTCACCGGATTTCACAGTTGCCTCTACCCCATCAACCTGCCCCGCTTACAAAGGCAAGCGACAGCTTAGTATAACTATTTCCTGCGCAGGCAGTCAGGTTGAGATTACCGCCGATCTGAGTACAAGTCAACAAAACCCTAACCCATATTGCACGTGCACTTGGTACTGGTGGTCTATTTCCTTACCTTTCCTCGTTAGGCTGTCGAAAGGGAGCCGTGGAATTCCCCTCAAACAGAGGTATTGTGCAGAATAGAGTGCCAAAGTAAGATATTCTTTGCAATTTAAACTCCCATTTTCACTTCATTATAGCGTCGACATGGATGCCAGCACAGTAAAGAAAACGCAAAGAAGGAAAGCGCTTGTTAGGATAAAAACTCATTCAAGTACCCGACTGTAGGCTGTATGTTCGCACTACTATTATATTTTAGCCCATGAATACGACTTTGTGTACTGATACCCTGCATGAGACATGCGTGTCCACGGCACGAATATAGTGAACAACGCTGAACCTTCTCACGCTGCCTTTTGTTAGATACAATGCACAGTTTTTATATCGGTTTCTGCGTTCATTTGGGATTACAGCATTTTAAACAATGAACTGGAATAGCGGCACGTTTGCTGCCAGTTTAATGGGACCCAGGTGGGTTGTCATAGCACCTGGCTCGAAGTCTCGTGGTCGTTGTATATAGGCTCCATCAGTGGCACAGTTGGTGTCAATGTAATAAAACCCATTTGGGTTGTACTAGCATACGGCTCGCAGTCTAGTGTTCCTTGTATGTAGGCCCCATCAGTGGCACATTTGGTGCCGATGTAATAGGACACAAGTTGGTCGTAACAGCACACCGCTCCAAGTCACGGGGTCGTTGTATATAGGCTCCATCAATGGCACTTTTGGTGCCAATGTAATAGAACCCAGTTGGGTTGTACTAGCATACGGCTCGGGGTCTCGTGTTCGTTGTATGTAGGCTCCATCACTGGCACATTTGGTGCCAACGTACTAGGACCCAAGTACGTGGAATATCATTTGCCTCAGAGGGTTATGCGTGTAGTATACAGGCTCCGACAGTAGCGCACTCACGATAATGCAGCTAATGCAGATAACGCAGATAATTCATACCATTGGCTGAAAGTCATCCTAATTAAGTTTCGTGTGGTCGTGCATTGGTAGTTCAAAAGCAATTAAGGGTTTGGGTTTGCGGCTACTGCATTGCTTAATCATAATTAATATGTGGCTTTCCGCTTCATGTTTACGATATTTTTACCATTAAACTTTCGTTGCTGAAGTTCAAGGGGCGCTGGAGGATAAACTAGGTCACCAAAAGGTCGTCCATAAGGTGTACAGTTGCACTGCTGAGGGCCAAAAGTCTGGTCATTTAGGGAGTTACAACACCCACACGACGGCACACGCTTTCGCTGCTCGCGCTGAAGGGATGCATATTCCGCTAACGTTACGCGGTAATAGATTACAGACTGGTAAGTACGTACTACCACAGTGATGAAGTATTCGCCCCACATGGCGCGCCAGAAGTCACTTGCGCTGACAGAAAGTACGGTTAAACAGAAGGATGTAACGCACTAAGCAGCGCCGATAATTATTTAAAATATTAGTTAACAATATCTATGGATATATAAAGACATATATCTTCATCTCCTTTTGATTCTCTGCGAGTGGCCAAAGATACGCTTCAGTGGAAGGGCTCGCTGTACATATGTTTGGATAAAATGATAATTCATAGGTACCATAATGCTGCATAATATTCCT